TGGAAAGTTAGAAGACCGTCTCTTCAGCTCCATAACACATGAATACTAGCCCCTTAGTTTCTCAAAACAATCGGAAAGAGAGTACTTTGATTTTGAAACTTTATTTTGCAACCTCGAGCCGGTCCTAATTTTTCGACACAGCTTGATATACTGGTGTTGCTGCTGAATCTTGGGAAAGCGTTTCTCTGATTTTGCAAAATTTATGCGAATTCTCCTCAAAATATTCTATCATGGTTTAGAATTGGCGAGTGACGAGAAACAACAGCGTTTTCTAACAAGGGCAGAGGTTAGGTATCACTCGGTTTTGAGTGCATAACCCATGTTGTGGTTGACTCGCGGGCACGGTTTCTCCTAAGTCAATATGCTCCCATTTGTCTTGGGAATTTCAACATTAGGTGTCTCTTTAGCTCCCATTGAAAGTATTTCATCGACTTTCAGACTAGCCAAGCGGATACCAATACGTTTAAACATATTATAAAGCATTCTGCCGGATATATTCTTGGTTTTCACGTAACGTCACGGGCATTTCCAAATTTGGTTGTCGGCCATGTTGGTGTCCCTTCCGACCGTGAAATTTGTGATAATAGTATGTCGGATCTCGCAACTCTTTCGTTCTCTTCGAAATTTTGCGGTCGTAAATGGAATTATCGGACGGAAAAAGCGATCAGGACTCAGATAGGACCAATGCGAGTATCCTTGATCTTTCCGAGTTCGCCAAAAGCCTCGAGAGCCAAGTAAAGACACGATATATTCAGAAAATGTTCCTACTTGGAGTTGACCCGGTCAGCATTCCAACCGAGCAGTTCGACCCAGAATGTTTGCCACGGATTGAAGCCACTGATTTGCTAGGATATCTGGTTTTAGAGACTAGCTAGTATACGAAACGGCAGTTCAAGGCCTACAAGAGTTTGGAAGCCTTCAATCAGATGGTTTGGGGATTCGTGACCTCTGTAAGAGGAAATATTAAGTGTACCTGGTAATGTAACTAACCAAAATGCCTTGCTTTGCGACAATATTTGTCTCTGCAAGTCCAAAGCAACCTCAACAGATAAACTACTAGAGTGCCACAGCACAGACTGTAAGAATAGTAAATTTTTTCATTTAAGTTGTCTTATAAAAAAAGGATACCAAACAATTGTAAGACTAGCTGACAGTACTGTGTGTAAACAGCCAAACAGGTCAGTGCCACCATGTACTTCTTCAACTCAGTGGAACAGTTTCATCATTACCTGTGCCATTGTCTGTACCATCAACATCCAACATCCAAACTGATTCTGTTAGTGGAAGTGATGATGATGTTGAGATCAGGTGAAATTGACAAACAGACTGCTTTGGCAAATCTTACACAGATTCAGGCTACCAACCCAGAATTGTCAAAGTGCCCAACATGGGACACAGTTATGACTGGAGGTTGATCTGTTTCAGAATCAATAATTATAAAACTGTATTTCCTTGAAAAATAGCTGGGGCAATAATGTTTATGTGCTTCCAAAGGGGTATAGGTAATAATTATTTTTTGCGGCAGATTTTACAGTGTACCAAGGGAAATTATTTTGAAAAATAAAAAAGGGGGTACATCATTCCACAGCAGGTTATTGAAAGGACAGCTATTCTTTGATGAAATATGTTTTTAGAAAATATTATGCTAAGGGTTTGGTCTTAAAGGAGAACTCCCGGGTAACATAGACCTTTTTCTAAATGAATGGCCTACATTAGTTACCACTAATTTAAGTGACTGTTTGTTATAACGAAGATATTTCACCTGAAAGAGGAATTAAAAATGCAAATAGCATTCCAACATCTTGAAAAATGTTTGCCTGCTCAGAAATGGGTCAGCGTTTTCATTTTTGAACTAATGGTGATCAGATCAGCATCTAATTGCTCATTGTTGATAAATGTACATAATATTGTACCCACAAGTCATGAGAAAAACATGTCACTAGAATCCCGGTTTCTCAGTCCCTTGATTTCTTAAGCCCATAATTTTACTCCTGATATCTGGAAATCCTGATTGCTTGAACCAGTTATTATTTCCCTTGTGGGTTAAAAAAATCAGGATTCCCCTGTAGATACATACATACATAAAGTTTGTGGCTCGATATCTCCGTAGAAGAGTGCTCAGTACATAAAGTAGAGCGTGAAAAATATTGTTAGCGGAAAAATAACATTTCTATCCCTACAAGCCTGTTTCGTGATCGCTCACAACATACATACATACATACATACAATTGTAAACAATGTGCCCTCCCGGTTGTCACCATAATGCCTTTATGGCAACTCCTGAACTTGTAGTGGAATGTTTTCTGCCCAGTGGCAGACCTAAATAAAGGGATATTTAGCATCTGTGAATTTCTGGTCTGCCGGTTACTTACAGTACTACGTAGAATTAATTGATCGCTAAGGTACCCAGGGGCTAGTCCCGACATACATTTAAAGCTAACACAGCATCTCTAAAGTATAATATTGGTCTTTTACGGGTAACCAATTTAATGATTTAAGGATAGGTGTTACATGATCATACTTACGCTTTTTTAGCAACGATACGTGCTGCAAAATGTTGTACTAACTGTAATTTAACTACATTCTTCATGGTAGTATTAGACCAAACAGAAGAACAATAAAATAACCTGCTGAAAACTACTGCATTAATTACGGGTTTGAGTGTTTTTGCTCAAATACCTGTTTCACTGTCATCTCAAAAGACAATTTTTTAAAACTTTTCTTGTTGTTTGAAACACTAACAAATTATGTAATTAAAAGAAGTAAGAAAATTGATGACATGAGAGTCTACATCTTCAAAAATTGTCATTTTGAATCAATTAAAATGTTTTAGATATTTGTTAAGGACACATTCTTACTGACCTTCACCTACATTAAGTTACTGTTCACAGAAGCACATAATTATGTTAAACTTAAAACTGGCAATACAGTGAACTCTCTAGTAAGCAGGACACCCTTGAGACCAGCTCTAGGTGTCTGCCTTAATTTAACTGTAACTAAACTCTCTTTAAAAGAGAGTTTAGTTACAGATGAACAGCTCTAATTTGCCTGAGTTAGGACCAGTGAAAGCTGTCCGCTGCACAGAAGTGTCTGGTATACCGGGGTGTCCATTTAAAAGAAGATAACTGTACAACTGAAACTAGTCAAATGGTATTATAGGTGGGCATAAGTTAATAAGTGCGGAGCAAACCCTCACAATACGATCAATCATAGGAATCTGTGATGCAGGTGGTCCATTTGGGTTGCAAGCAAGGAAATCTGTTGGAAGTGTGCTTTCCAAAATGGTATACTTGCGCCGCAACAACCCTATCACCCTCTCCACGTGGATACGAACACTTGCGATGCCTCTGGTTTTTTCCACATCAACTGGATCCAACTGGGATTTCCCCTTTGTGAAGGCTGGAATAACCAGCTTGGCTTGCTTTAAGCCAACACTTTCTGCAATCGTGAACCCTCTATCAGCCATTACCATGTCTCCTGGTAGCAATTGGTCGAGAAATCCAGAATGCTCTGTCAGATACTTATCAGAGGTGCGGCCTCCCCAGGCTTCACTAACAAAAGACACAGTTCCTTGGGGTGTAATACCAATGAGAATCTTGATCGTATTGTGGTGTTTGTACGATGAAAATGTTTGTGCTCTGGCTAACAGATTTGACGGCCTTTCGATAAACACCTCAAAACAGTCAATGATTACAGTTACTTTCCTTCCAAATGCATGTTGAAAACACATTGGCATTGTTTTCCATAACTGCTCCCTATCTGGCCAGGAAACAAGAGGAAACAACCTGGTGTCCATAACAACCAGCCAGGAGGAAAAAATCCTTGACACAGTGGGCACAGATACCATGAAACGGTAAGCCAGATCTTGAAAGGGTACATTCAATCGCAGTTTCATCAGGACCATGACAAATTCCTGAAATCTGCTGAGAGAGTGAGTTTTGCGAGTGACATGTGGAGACACGTGTTCAAAAGCAACCATTAGAATCTCAAATGATGGCAGTCCCGTATAAAAACGGACCTTGTCGTCAGATTGAAAGAAATCTTGGTCGGGTGCTTGATATCCGCTGGGCCTGGAGAATATATATTCAAACTCTTCAGTCTGAGTTTCAGCGTCGACTGGTGGGAATGTGGCAGATTCTTCTGTCTGTGTTTCAGCGTCGTGAAATACAACCGCCATTGTTTCTTCATCGCTCGCACAAGCGGCTGAAGAAATATCAGGCTGTTGAGTATCAGGCTCTTCAGGCTGTATTTCACCGCTATGGTCTTCGACTATTTCGGATGAAGTACTCGTTGACGCTTCCCTAAAGTCCATGTTAGCAACCTGTTCGCCTCTTTGGTCCAAGAGCTTTCTTTTCCTTGCAGCTTCATTCTCTTGTCGTTCAATGACTCTTTTCCTTCGAGCCTTTGCTCTCTCGGCTCTTTTTGTCGCAGCCTCGACGTCTTTCTGTTTGTGTATTCGTTTACCTAAGTTTAAGGTCGGTATCCAATCGACGTTAAATTTGTCCCAGTTCGGTGACGGCCTTCCTGACACAAAGTGGCGTTCACAAACCCGCTCGTTTTCCAGGACGTTCTTCGTATCAGTATCGTCTCGACTTATCGCCGAAATCCAACTATTTCTCCTCTCAGTGGTGAGATCTTCGAACTCTTCGCCTTGATGTTTAACAACTGATGGTATACGAAAAAATCCTTGGGTGTTTCCCTTTCCACTTTTCCTTCCACATCCAACGACAACGCACAGAACCATCTGGGTTTGTTTACACTTGAGGGACACCAACATGGCGGATAGCAACCGTTGCCAAGCGGTGGGTCATGTGGGTGAAAACCAAGAATTAGCTTTGATGGAAACGTGACCGTGAGTCACGCACTGCTTCCGCGGCTCACGAAATTTTTTTAGGTGTCGAAACGGCGTCGACTCCACTCTATAATCAAGAAACCACAATCCCTCACCTGCGAAGCCATTCTTGTTTTCCTGATCGCTTGGTAATTCTAAATGAAATTAGAATACTTTCAAACGATTAGAAAAAGGGACTTTGCTGAAATTCTGGGGTAAGACTAATGTGCTAATGTCAGGAACTGTGGACCGCGGAACCGCGGAACCGGCGGAACCTACGGAACCTAAAGAAATGACTGTTTTTACTGACAACTACCTTTGGCTAACGTGATAAAATACCGTAATTAGTTACAATTATATTCTTTACATAACTAAGCAATTTCTCGCCCGCTTATTGGTCGAGAGCTATTGTCGATAACAGTACAGACCATGGAAATGAAGTGAAGGTGGCGCAGCTCGTTTTTTTTCTTTCCCACAAGCGATTTTCCGCGAATAGTCTACGGACATGGACGACAAAAACTGTCAATGTTATTGTCAAAAACAAATCGACAGCAATTTTCCTTGGTCTGTACTCTTATCGACCATAGAAATAACGTCAAAATGTTCAAACTTTACAATGAAACCACTCTCCTGCGGCTCGTGGTTCCACTTGAGTTTTGAACATTTTGACATCATTTCTATGGTCGATAAGAGTACAGACCATGGAAAACTGTTGTCCATTGCTTTTTAATTTTTGTTGTGCAGGGCTATGTTCCATTAAAGTTCAACCACGCATTAAAATTCAAAGGTGTCTAAATGTTTGCAGTATGTGCACCCCGAATGGCGGTCAAGTCGTGTCGATTTGTTGCACAAAAACGATCTATATGTTTTACAAAACTGCCGCTTCCGTGCAACTCGGTACACGCTAATTTATCTATCAAAACAAAGGCCAAGAATTTCTCTTCCACTGCTATATAATTTCTCGTTGTACCGAGTTGCATGAGACTTGCACTAAACTTAAAAAGAAAAAAAACACCCACCTTTTTAGCAAGTGTTGCTAAAACGAAGACCCCCTGGACTAAAACGAAGACCCCTTGGACTAAAACGTGGCAAGACAGTTCCAGGATGCATTATCTTCTAGACAACACATATGACTAAAAATTTCGACCCATATAACTTTCCGTCTCTGACAATAACAACAAAACCACATCACTGCCACTGACAAAATACGTTGCCATTTCTTCTTTCATCTTGACAACATTTCGCGCGGATTTTGCCTCTAAGCCAATAACTTTGGCGAAAATCGACCACTTGATTTTTGTCGCGGCGCATGCGTAGACATTTTTGGTCGGTGAAACCACGACAACGAAATTTTCAGTCCGCCCTTGCGCAGTGTTCTGTTTCTCACTTCCCTTCGTCGTCGACAAAGTCGTCGTCGTGGTTCTTACGTTCTCTAATGTTGAACTTCTACCGAATGATTTTGTTTTTACACGTGAGCGGGTCAAAGTGGGGAGGTATACTTCCTAAAAATTCCAGTCAAGCCACCTTAACGGAAACTTAGAGGTACCTTGATCGCGACCTCCTTCTTGAAAAGCCAAAAAAAGCGTCCAAGATAGCGGGGTAGCATTATTCTCGAAAAAGGAAGCATTGGTCACGTGACCTCTCAATAATGCAAGTGGCCTATTTGTATCTGAGTAAAAAACTGTTCATCACATCTCAGGCAGACTAGCCTATGATTGTGTGACCGTTGTTCGATTTATCTTTTGCCAAGTATGCAGAAATACAGATAAGCATTTACAGCACCTACAATTTGCTCCAAAATACAGACTTGAACGTAAATGTTTAAATAAAAGTAAAATTTTACAGTCATGAGTAAATTTTTTTTCGTTACCCAGAACAGTACTTTATTGCATTATTTTTGAGACAGAGAGATAATAAATTTGACAGGCAGAAAGAAGTAAAGGAAGAGTACAAGGCAGGCAAAAATCAGCTGCCAGCGCGTGACATAGTCCACTTCAAACTGGAACTGAAGCCAAACCATAGAAATTCTCAACTAAAAAACACCATATGTCATCAAGCTCTCGCCAAAGCTTTGCTCAGTCCTTCCAAAAGTTATGGAGAAAAGAAATACTGAAGTTACAAAAGCAGGTTTCTTAACATGATTGATGCCAAATTCTCTCTCCCCTGAGTTTTCCTAATCAGCTGTTTTTTGTTGTGTTTGTTATATCTATTATTGTAAGTGTAATGATTTTTTTTTTCTGGAAGGATGTGACGTCAGAGTTCTTGAAAAGCCACCTGGTGGATATTTTACCTACGAAGAGATAAAAGAGGCAAGTTCTTTTGTTTTCTCTTAATTCTTTACGAGTGACCATCTAGCCAATTAAGCCTTTCTGCCACCGCAATTAATTTCCTTCAAGCTAAGAGTAGTGGGTTAATTTGTTATATGCCACACCAAACTGCAAGGCTATCTTGAGAGCCGACATTTCGGGATGCTCTATGAAAAAAAATTGAAGGGAGCCCCATGCTCTGAATCTGTGAAATGCAGGCTGCCCAGCATATGATTTCTATGAAAAATCTAACTAAATATTTTATAGTCTCCTAGGAGCAAAAATTACTAGGGGCCACCGGGCGCTGCCCGAGCACAGCCCTGATAACAAGAGCATAAAAATTACAAGGAACATGCTACTGTTAAAAACGTAAATTTGTTTTCTTCTTTCAGGGTCTTCAAAAGCACAAACCTATAGCTCTATTTGTTTGTCACAGCGAATCTTCAACTGGAATTTGTCAACCACTGGATGGCTTTGGACCTCTTTGTCATGAGTTAGTTATTAAAACTTTATAACGACAACAATAAGACACATTTTCAACTCTAACGTTATCTTCAGGCTTAAAATCAAGGTGAGAAAAAAGTAACACTTTGCAAAATATATGGAGGGTGAAAATGAAAGGGGCAAATGTTACAGGTCAAAAATTAATCATATTCAAATTAATTTTTTGGCCTTGGTTGATTCTCAACTTCAATCAACCAAGTTTAAAAAAATTTAACCTGAATATAATTTTGACCTCTTAGCACATCAGTATGTGGTAATTTGGATTAAATTAAAATGTGTACAAGGATTGTAGCTCTATCACATGCAGGCTATATTTGCAACGGAAACCCTAATCCCTGAGAATTATAAAGAGAAAAGAAATCTAAACTTCTGAGAGTAATAAATGTACTCTCAGTAAGCCTCAAGATAACTTTAGTGTTCCAAATGTTTTAAAATGTTTACCTTAATGGGAGTTAGCTCCGAAAGAAAGCCAATCGCGCGCTTATTAAATTCATTTAAAGGAGAGTTAACTTCCTGTCGAGAAGCGCTTTTTATGTTGCATTCTCTAACTGACCTTTTTTGTTGTTCTGTTCTTAGGCACGACTGCTTGTTAATAGTAGACACTGTTGCATCTCTTGGTGGAACACCTTTCTTCACTGATGATTGGGAACTTGATGTTGTGTATTCAGGTTCTCAAAAGTGTCTAGGTGCACTGCCCGGAGTGTCACCCATAACCTTCAGTCCTAGAGCTATGTGTGTTTACTTTTATTACGTTACTTCAATAATACGTTTCTCAGATTTTGTGCTATAATATTGTTCAAGAGGCCAGACACCCCATTAAGAAGGAATAATGATGAGAAGTCTGTACCAATAATTTCTGCAAAATGGAGCTGTATGGAGTTAACACCCGCAGGCATGCAAGATCCCTTGGGTTATTCACCAATTCAAGTTTTACTGTTAATAACTAGATAATAGTGCAGTCTCTGTTTTGCAGAAGCACTGCAATCAATCCTGCTCATCAAAAATTGTTTTTGGACTAATTACAAAAACTTTTAGGCTGGTAAATGCTTAGCCACAGCTTGCCTGAATGGCAAGCTGTAAAAGTAACACCTTCTTTGCACTTTGCGAAGTATCGCTATCCACTGGATTAATTTCTGCCTGGTGTATAATGCAATTGGTTTCCCTAACAATAGTGATTTATCCGGTTGATAATACTATCCAAACTTTCAGCAACTGTAGCCTGAAGTTCAAGGTAGACTGCTCAAACACCACACTTCTGCCTCTGCTGCCTAATAACTTGGTTTAATGTCATTTGTTTGTTTTGTTATAAGGGCTAAGGTGAATGGTCGTAAAACCAAAGTGCTGTCATTTTACCTGGATATTACTGAACTGGGCAACTACTGGGGATGTGATGATGGACCAAGAAGGTAAATTTCTGAATTCACAAGGATTTATCAATATCTACTTTAATTATAGTTTTTTTTGTTGGCCTTTTCAGTTCACTTTATTAATTCTTGACAAATTCACAAAAAAGAACAAACATTACCCGCAGTTAGCAACGGCTACATGTAAAGGCGAGCAGTGGAACACACATACAGTAATAATATAAGAGGTGTTAATGCCTAAAGCAATTCCAGGAGTTGAATAGGGCCATTGCACGATGACGTCATTTTTCTACAACTACCAGCATCTATTAGTTTGTTTTTTTGTAGTGCCAATTGAGGGTCCTCTGACCTATCTTTTGGGGCTGTTGCCAGGGAAAATTCTAGCCGTATAACTTGGACTCCTTTTTCCATGCATTAGTCAATTTATAGCACAGTACTTGTTAGTGATAGACAGATGCAAATATAGGGCCATCTGACCACGCCCATGATGACGTTACCAAAAAACGAAAATGTCTAAAATCTTAGATGTATACCATTTTAATCACTATTTTTTCGTGGATATGTTATTCTTGTTTTAACTCTTAATAAATTATACATATATTTTCTTTGTTTTCCTTCAAACTAAACTTCTAACCCAAAATTGAAGTTAGACTTCTTTAAAAAAATGCATAGTTTTATTTCTAATACCATGCCAAAAGGTTTTTCATTAAAGGCACAGACCGTGAAACAAAAACCGCAAAGGTGTTTTAGAGATTTTTTGGAAACCGGAAGTTGTTTCCTTTGACTCATCCGAGGACGAATTTTGATCGCTTATTTTTAAATGTTGACACGTTGATATTCTCTTTTTTGTGAATTTCATTGGAGAAACTTGTTTATGTATGTGAAGGTTCCGTGTAAAGGAAGATTAGTGGGGGTAAGGGAAACTACCCTCTCTCCCCTACCCTCACCCACCGATCCACTTGTTCACGGGCGGGAGTTACAGGTGCAGCTATAATTTTATAGTTTAAAACCTATGGAATCTGATTAATTAAATCGACTCTTTTGCCAAATTTAGAAAAAACCTAATATTTACATTTTTGCCACAGATACCACCACACGGCTGCAATTAGTCTGGTTTATGCCTTGAGAGAAAGCCTTGCTATTCTGGTGGAGGAGGTAAAGCAGAATGCCTGGGCTCTCTTCTTTTATATGTCTTATATACCTGCCATATGGTTGCAATTGCGGACTGAGTTGACAATATCCATTGTACAGATTATACCCTTAAGTCTCAGGTCTCCAGTCTTTCATCACTCCCACTGGACGGCTTGTTCGCACGTTTTTCAGGGTTCTACTCTGACATAGAGCCAATGACCAAAATGTCAGCCTCCTTATCTCTTTATGGTGACTGATTTGCTCTATCAACTCAGTTGATAAAACAACTTTTTTGTTTCACTCAATGCAAAACCACAGTTTCTTTACAAAGTAACTCCGTTGACGGTTAGTTACTTAACTATTGTGATCATTATTATGAAAAGTACTGACTTGCAGTTTCACAGGTTTTGTGCGAACTGTAATGCATGCACTGGGATGAATTACAATGTACGTTGCTGGGGGCTGGTCATCCCAATTATCTTGACCGAAAAAAAGGAATAATAATCTCCGTTGTGAGTTCAATTTTAATAATTTGACCATCACCAGGGACTCGAAAATTCCTGGAGGCGGCATCATGACACCATTGAACATCTCTGGGCGGGGCTTGAGAAGATGGGGATGGAGATGTTTGTAGCGGACAAGGTGAGTTTTAGCTTCTTTTTTTGTAAAACCAATTTGTTAGGCTGTGTAAGTTGTTGTTTACACGTACGTCAGTAATAAAACAACCTACCAATACTATCGTCTGCTAGATTATTGTAAATTTTTAAATAGAGTACTAATCAAAAATTACGCAGCGCGTTCGACCTCTCTCAATCTCTCTCGAAACAGTTAACAGGACTGGTTGAGAAAACAACAAACAAACCACAGAATCAGTAATTGCACCTTTTCCTTAAACGATAAAGGTTCTTTGGACGAATAAAAAACCGCCAAAGCACAGGCTATGGATTTCCGTAGCTTTTCTCCTTGAAATTGTGCGTATGGGACAAATTTACATTATCATCAAACTTTTTCAAGTACGAACACCTCCGTTAAAATAGACAGATATTCTTCTTATCTCAACATTGATTGTAATGGCTGAAATGTGCCTTTATACATTGTCTACATTAACTCTCACATTGCTGTAATGAATCGAAGCAATAATCATTACGTTTCCATTTACTGCTAAAAAGGCAGATAATGAGGCAACCGTCAAAAACTAATTCTGCTGAATTATTTCTCAGTTTCTGATCGGCTTAAATCGCTGCTAACGACGTCAATGTCGATTGGAAATAAATACAACCTCCTCAATCTGCCTAACTCCTCCTAGTTACTATCATATTCAGCCTCCCCTAGACATTCCTGGGTCACTATTAAAGTAGTTTATAAACTAATACAAATGGCCATTTCTTTTACTCCTTTTTAGGCTCTTCGTCTTCCAACAGTTACAACCATTAAAATCCCTGAAGGATTTCCAGACTGGAAAGCTGTCCCAGATTATCTGATGAAGAAGTGAGCGGAACGCTTTTCTTACTTATCGTCGAAATACCAACACCCCTCCCACCCCCACCCCGGCAACGGTTTTGCAAATGCAAACGGCAGACTCATATGTTACGCACAAAAGATTCTGTCACAATCACGAAGCCACGAACTAGAGATAACTGTGGTCGAATTCCGGAAAGTAGCAGAGCATCCATGTATTTCGAAATTTCCCCCCTTAGCAGCTTTTATATTTTTGACAGAAACCATTTAAATTTACAAATTACAGTAGTCTGAAGCGGACGTATACAAAACATGGTCCCCCGGTCCATGGACCACCTCTTTGGACCTAGTCCATGGAAGTAAACATCATAATGGGGTAAACGTGACACTGAAAAAATGTAGTCAGAGATGGTGGCTTTAAATTTGCAGTTGAATCCATTGTTAAATAATCAGGTGGTAAATTGCCATTCATTCGAGTCGAGATTGTTGTCGTTACAAAAACATAGACATTAAGCTTCCTCCGTAGTCTCATACGCAGCCGTTTTTTTTTCTCAATTTTCACCAAAACGAAGACAAAAAAAGAAGGACTTCCACTCCTTCACCAGACTAAAATGAACCCATTATATTGGTCGCATGAAATTGAAAAAAAAGTGTAAGATAAAAGGAGGAGCCCATAACCCTGATAATAAAAGCTGACCACAGTTTCGTCCATTTAAGTTTCCTAAAATTTGTTGAGACCTCTGCATGGTAGAATTCATCTGCAAAAATTAGAGGTGGACCCACAGGGGTAGTCCATGGACCGAGTCTACGAAGGGGTCCATGGACTACGTAGGTCCAGAAGCCAGAAGCTATGTTCTGTGTCAGTGGCGTGCACATTTTGAAGGGTCAATGCTTTTTTTTGCATTCGTAAGGAAAGCTCTTTTAAGAAGACCCTTCTAGGTGACGGCACGAATTTGCATTTCTTTTTCGTCTACTATTTGGCCATTTCTTGAAGGTTTTATGGGCACCTTCTTTCTGCTCTTTTCAGCGTTGAGCTGATCATGATATCGTTAGCCTAAAATTTCAGGAAAACCTTTGCATGGAAACTGCAGCAAAACAAAACTTCGTCTGGGAAAACGTAGTGAAGACTGAAAACGAATGACACTTCGGTGAAGGTGGACCTAAGGCTACGTGCATGCGACTCCGATCCCTTTCAGTTCGTACACGAATTCAATGCAAACGTGCGAGTTTACCACTTCCGTCCCTTGTGAGCTCTAGTACATGTGCGATCTCCATGCAGTCTGTGTTCTAAATGGATGCTAAAAATGGTTCTCTTGTGAATAACCGTAACTTTACTTATTTATTTTGTTTATTTCAATATTTGCCAGGTACAAGCTTGAAATTGTAGGTGGTATGGGTTCAACAGTAGGAAAAGTAAGTCGCCTTGCTATTAACCGATCATGAATTAAAAGTAACCAAAGTCAACGGAACAGTGAATCAATTCAGCGTTGGGTGAGCACGCGACTCGTCTAATTTTTACTGTTAAAGAATTTTTTGGTTAACTTCGACAGTGAAACCCGGACATCTACCGTGTAAAGTGGCTACGTTACATAACATTTACTTTACGTTACGTTACGTTACGCGGTTTGTCCCGAAATGGGGATGCTTACGGTCTACTCGCCTATTCAGGAGGTACTCCAGCACGCAGGCATCTTTGATAAACGTATATAATTCAGATTACGGCTAGTGATCTTCAGGAGTTTATAGGAAATCCTAGAGTAGTGAATGTTTCGCTCCTATATTTCGCGCTTTGGCTCCTCTGGCTCGACTTGTGGGCATGTGTAGGGGTTATTAAGCATCAAATAACCGGCTTGCAGGGAAGCATTTCACGTTGTTTCTCCTACAGAGTTGTTGGGTCTTTTACCGTATCACAAACTTGTGTTTTCTTTATTCATTTTTCAGGTGTGGCGTGTAGGGTTCATGGGACACAACTCCAACCCAGAGAACGTGGATTTATTCTTACGACTGTTTAAAGAAGCGATAGAATCTGTGCACGCTGGAAGTCCCAAGTCTCAGCCTTAAACATTCATAACAAAGTTGTGTCATGATTGTATAAAAAATATTATAGCAAGTATGATTGTTTAGGGAGTGTACGATACATTTTCGTAGATGCCGCCCTGTCGATGGTGTCTTGTACTATTCTTTTTCATTCGGCATAACAGGTACACAACAGGGGCACCCAACGACCGAATGTTTTGAAATACACCAAAAGTGTCTCAAATGGTTTTCTCTTTGCTTTAGAAGCCTGTTTGGTTAATTTGGAGTTACCCTAAAAACTATTTATCTGTTCGGATGTCTTAGGGGAACTTTGGTTGTCACGAAAGTCTTAGGTGGCTTTTTCGTCTCATCCGAAAGTGTTAGCTACCCTTATGGGTCCGGTCGAACGTTTGAGGACGTGAACTAGCTTTTCTTTCATTAGAAAATTATAGGGGACGTGTTGTCTTCATACCGAAATTTTTAGACCTTTTTTAACAATAATCGCGATATCTTGGTATTAAGTGCATGACATAACCTCGGAAAATCGTAGTAAAACTATTAGAAATTAAACCTCTAGCGCAGAAAGAAGATGCCTCTGATAATTTTCCATTGTCGTCTTGAAGATGAAAAACTCTTTTGTTGTCTAGAATAAACAAACTCGACCGCAATTTCTTTCATTGGTAAATATTTTCACTTTCCCCCTCCCCCAAGGAGAAACCACGTTTCATTGCTTTATCTCATCACTCCTAAGCGAGTGCAAAGATGGCGGGTATCGTGGCCTTAAGCCTTTCTTACAAAGTGAGTTTTGCTCCTCTTTCTCATGCAAATTAACTAATTTTCATTTGCATTGCTGAGCACTAATCGTAGCCCGAGAAACAGCCGACATATCGATACTAAACCACTGGTTTTCACACAAAATGACGTCTGAGAATAGTATCGACCACAGAAATTCCATCCTGATGACGCGACACTACCCAGATCTTAGCCTGTGCCAGGCTCTCAGATAGTATAGTGCGGACGTATTAAAACGAGCAAAGCGAAAATAAGACGCGCGCGACTTGGGAAAGGGGGCGGTGGCGGCGAGAAAAATGGGAGAGAGAGCCTGTTAGCATTTCTTTAACAACCCTCTTCCGCCCATTTTTGTCACGTCTGGATTCGGCTGTCAAAACTGTTAACACTTCAGTTAGCTACAATCATTCTCAAGTTTCTCGCGCGAGCATTTCGCGTGACGTGAACTCCTTGTGTGAATGTGTGGAAATTTGTGTCTTCGAATTCGTTATCCTGTGAGAGCATCTGGTTTTTTCGGCTCTAGTTTCTAGTTTTACCCGCCGAAGCGACGACCAGAAATGCATCTGCTGTTCGCAGGCTACGAATTCGTTAACGGCGTCTGCGAGTCTCTCACTTTCGATTATTCAAAGTGCTGCAGGTTTTATCGTAATAAAAGGGGAAGGTAAGTTTTTTCCTCTGTTGGGTAGGTTATGCTCTGGAAGGTTCTGCATTTTCACTGAGCAAATGTGATTTTAGCGCTTGTTTCACACTGAGAGGTCATGGCACACATATCAATTTACTGTGGCTTTTGTTTCTGGTCGGCAGGATTTGCCCTCTGATGAAAGAGCATTTTCTTTGACCTCTTTTGAACATAAAACTTGTTATTGCGGCTGAATAAGGGTTAATTTTCTCCAAAGTGCCCTCTGGATCTGACTAACTAAGTGATTTTCTTTAGTCCGTGAATGTAATGTTTTTCGGCAATGTTGTATCACGCTGGGCCGAGCTCGTTAGTTTTCTTCGCAGAATGTTAAATTATCACGGATAGTGATTTACAGATCCAGAATTATAAGAATTAAACTTAAGCTACATCAACTAAGGAGAATTGCATTGCGACTCAGTAAACTCCAGCTTAGGGTTTCTCTTATAATAGTGCGAGTCTTTTAACTGGAGCGCATAGTTTCTCCCTTGGTAATAGCTTTTTAAAGCTTAACAGTCTTTGGACTGTTTTGTTATTGCCACTTTGTGATCAGCCAGGACTCCAGACTACCGAAAACAATTTCGCACTTTCCTTTTCTCGCTTTCTTCTCGTCCTCCTCTCCCTCTTCACTGATGCCAATAGCTGCGGCCGAAAGTCCAAGCTTTTTTTTAATTTCAGTGTTGCAGTTGGTCTCGCATTATAGATGTCAGCGGCGAAACGACCATTATCGTAGAGCTTTCTAAGGTTAAAGCAGCTTTAGCCAAGCGTGGGAATAGCTGAAAGAATAAACTTTTGCCGAAACTGGTGGGCATAATAGCAAAAACAACTTTACCGCGAGCCAAGTCACAGACACTCGTCTAGCCTGAGATCATGCCAAAAAAAATGAATAACGCCTGATCTCAAGTTAACACAACGCGACAACGCGGATTCATCAAGATCACACGCACGATTCGCGTTGGCCATCTTGATGATGAGAAACTGATGACCACACTACTAGGTGATGATGTTAACTGTGACAATTGACCAACCAGAGGGTATATAAGGAACTGATATACCGGAACAGGCCGTTTAAAAAGTGCGTATTGGCTCCGCCGCCCTGTCTCTCCCCAGTCCCCGCGCGTTTTTCGCATTTCTTTTTACTGAACGACTTTTCACCACTATCTCGGAGCCTGGAACAGGCTACCCAGATCTGGGTAGTGGCTCTTAACTATCTGGGCCCAGTTGTTCCAAAGCCGGTTAGCGCTAACCCGGGGTTAAATTTTAACCAATGTTTCTTTTTCTTTTTATGAAAAGCCCTCTCTCGGGTTATTTTCTCTATTCTCTACAGGCGAAGAAGATGAAGATTTAATTAATTTCCATTCCTTACAAATCGCTGTGTATTTGACTATTTTTGTCATTGTTTTTAATAAAGTTTTTAAAACGATATCTCTCTTGTGGTTTTATTGTTAGCAATTATTAGTCGCGTGTTTTAATTGATCCTTGTTAAGTTATTAGTTGTTTATATACTAATACGCCAAGGTTCTCTCTTGGGGTTTTTCCCGTAGAGCTAATTTGTATTCAACTTTGGGCTTGAACAATGTGACAGCAGCTAGTGTGACAGCTAATGTTAGAAGAATTCGAACTTGAAAACCAGGGCCAACCTGTTGAAAACTTACGGACGGTCGCGCAAACGCCTATTGTTTTCTGGTCAAAATTAACGCAGCGGACCCTCCCTCAGTGTCGATTGACCTAGAAGCAATAGTACCATCCCTCCCATTGCAAGTGATGCATTGTCGCGCGGACGCGGTCACTAAGCTTGAATATTCACGTTGCGTATTAATCCTGGCAATTTGCGGTCATATCGAAGCGTAAAGGTCAACAGTGTTTGTTGTTGAGGGAGCGATTATTGTGCAGTTGCGATGGGTTTTGTGGAGCCAGCGAGCAAGAAGCCGGAGCACACGTTACCTGCAGATTAGCCGATGGCAATTTGGAGCGGATTCGTCGATTATTCTCCAATTTATAGCGCTTCGCGTGAAGGTGCGTGGAGATGGTCAGTTTGTTTTGTAGCCAGCCTTTAATTCTTCTTTATTGGATGGTACCTGCGATTGCAAAACTCAACAAAATGCCACTTTAACCGGCCAGGAAGAAGAAGGAGACGTTCAGTTAAAGCTAGCTTTGTTTTGTTATATTTTGACTTTTGGACTATTTTAGTTCATGGGAGTTTCGACGACTCATCCCATTTTGTCCATGTGAATATTAATATATTGACACACACTACGTCTGGGCAACCGGTGATAAAACTGGTTATCCTTTGACGCTGGACTCGTCAACAGAGGTGTAGCGCTCGATTCGACTTGCATGTTTGGAGCGTTGTTTTAAAGAATATTGGTGATAGTAAGACTTTTTTCAGAGCAATCTGAACTTTTAAGAATAAAATGTTGAACGGAAGACGCGCTTTTACTTTGAACACTTAATGAATTCTACAAGAGCCAATCAGGGTTAGAAGAGCCCGGGCAAGTCTAGGCAAGCCTATTGTGCCTATTGAAAAGCCCCTTTGGGGAGGTAACAGTAAAGTATGTAGGTATTGTAGTACAGAGACGCTTATTAGTAAACCTATACCGGATTAGTATGCCAGAAGACAGTTATTAGCATGGAGGAACGCCTATTTGCCTATAGCTAGCTAGACACTGACTAGGCACTTAATTAGTATGCAGGATTAGGCAATGATTAGGCACTTGTTAGGCACTGACTAGGCACCAACGGGGCTTAATTTTCAACATAGTGGACTACTCATGCGACATTTCCTGTATAAAACGAGTAACTAGTAGTGGAAAACAACTGCAAAAAACGTCTGCTGTAAGCGGAAAATGTTTTTGTCATTTTTTTGCTTTAGACCTATTGTTTTGTTTTACTTTGTTTTGTTGTTGTTGTTGTTTTTTTTTTTGCCCTTCTCGTTACCTTCGCCATTTAGCATTACAGAATTTTAGCTTTTTAATTGAAGAAACTAAAAGCATATTATAACGAGAGCTTTGCTTTCAGCCCTGGCTAAATCTTTATATTATAAATATGTACTGGACCTTGCGAAGGCTCCGCGTATAAAACTCTTTCGATTACCCCTCTTTACGGGGTTTGTGGGTTTGTATGGTGACACAGCCACCGGGAATGTTACATTATGACCCTGTTCCGAAAACAGGCTACACTTCGAGTTGTTTATAGTCTCTTCTCTTAACTCTCTTACAGACTTACCTCATGACTATTTTGCAGGGGTTTTTTCTTCTTCACATAGCTGAGAGCATTTAAATTGAAATCTTTTCAATGTTTTCATTTTTTAAAGTTTTATGTCACGGGACACGGTGAGAATCGTTTTCCTTTGGGTTTCCAGTTACCTGTGATAAGTCATTGTTTATTCTTTAGATTCTTTCGTTCCAGTAAAGACAACAGCAGGCTGGTGGCCACTTCTATAAGTCTTTTATTTTAGTTCGTATTTTCATTAATTCTAAAATGTGATAATAGTTGCTCAATCCAGCTGGCGAACGTTTACTTAAACAGACGTCACTCGTAAATCAAGCTTCGAACGCTTTCTCCAAGTTTAAGTTAAACCAATTCCTATCGCAAATCTCTTCGATCTGAAGAAAGCACTATATGTTGCATCATTAGCTTTTTGATCAATCTGTTTAATGTTCACCAACTTGATTACAACTAAATCTTCTTTACTGTTAGTCCCCAACACCATGCAAAAAAATCGCTGACAGTTAATTGACCCGTTTATTGTAAAGTCCTGTTCTGTTCCGATATTAACCTCTGAGAAGTATTGATCGCCAGGTCCCGAACCTGTCAAGGAACCAGCAAAAATTTATTTACTCTTTCAAAATATTTTTTCACAACAAGACTGCTTGATTTTTCACGTCAAGCAAACGGCCACCAAATTTTGATCATTGACATCAGTGATATATAGGAGGCAAAAACAAACAGAAAAAAAAAACAGAGAAAACAAAGTGACATTTTTTAGGTGTATCTTTTTTGCTTATTATTTATTTATTTATTGTTTCACACTATTTAGGTTAATATCTACTGCTAGCACCTCGCTTACTAAGCTTTATAAGAAGAAAGCTTTCATATCAAGATTAGATTTTAAGTTTTGTTTTGAGATCATCATGTATTCTTCATAGATTCTAGTCCTTCGTTCAAATCAAGGGTCCACGATATAAAGTCAAATATATGTATTTAAGCTTACTTGTGCTAATAAATCAAAGATGAACAGCATGAAGTGAAAAATTCATTTTGAACTGGGTGAGTAATTATTAATTGAATAGTACAAGGAACTTTTAACGTTTATACAGGTTAATACTTACTTACAGTGGTTTGTAGATTCAGCGACCCCAAGTAGCACCATCTGCAATTGAACAGTTTTGACACAATATAATGAAATGCATGTTGTTGCTTTTTGTTGTTGTTTTTCTCTCGAAAATATTTAAACGCGTCTACGGCGTCACAAGATCCTTCGAGGGGTAACAGCATGCCTGGCAAAATACAGGAGCAAAGAATGCTTACGAGGTAGCGGTCGTCAGTCTACTACGGAGTTTAGCTAGAATGTCGTAGTGGCGGAAAGAAGTTATCAAATTTTAACAGTTTTATGATCAGTTTGCGATCGTGAAAGGGCTTAAACTTTGTCAATAAAAATAACAGGCTAACGTTTCTGGTGAGAAAAATACAATGAAGCCTTCATCATGGCCCAGAGAAAAAAGCGATCGACCTGCGGAAGTCTTTTATTTGCCATTATTCTTTTGTGGAGCCTGCGGTATGGTCCCTCCTTTTCATTGTTTTCAATTAGTTAAAACGGGTTCAAATACGGTAGTGGTGAACGGCTGTAAGTTTTGTTAATTTAAAATGTTAACCATTTTGGTAGACAGCGCTGCCTGATTTTCATTCACGTAAAAGCACAAGCAAAGAATTCGATGATTTCTTGTTGAAGTACCATCATCAACCTTTTACTTCATTGCTTATATGTAAACAGTTAAGAGCTGCAATTGTCTGTAAGATTCGAACTATACTGAAAAGTCGCTGCCACGCCATCTCACCGAATTAGCTGAAAATTAGAATGTAAAGTTGGTTTTAGATCTTAAGTAAGAAATGAATATTTTTAGGTTCTAAATCTTCTTACTTTGAAAATTACCAACACGACCATTTTTCGACGCCTTCGGCCAGCGCCATATTGGTTAAATCGAAGGAGGTTTTACGATTCCAACTACAAGCCTGTCTTTGAAGCAATTCTATCACTGATGAGATACACGTCAAAAACTATCCTTCCTTATTATGATTTTGAAGTTTACTCCGTACATAGCAGCTGGACTGGCTCAACTGTCGGTCGTGCACACTTTTTGCATAATTTATGCTCTCAAAAATACCAACAATCCAAAGGAGTATACCTCCCTTGCCACACAGGATTGAAACTTGCTGCTTTCCCTAAATACTGACTGTTTGTAGCCAAATCGAATTCGTTAATGAAAAAATTGGGCAAATGCAACGGAACAGAAAGAAATTTATTAGATGGGCAAAATGTTCTAGTCGCTTTGCTACTTAAATTACACACAAATGCTCACTAGTGTTGCCAAAAATAGTGACAAATAAAAGAATTTCTGTCCAAATCTGAGTAAAAAGAATATCAAAATGGCCTTTTTAATTGCAGTGACAGAATTTCTGTCAGAAACACTGCAAAAAGGTCGATTTTTTCCTCGGAATGGTAAATGAAAATGCAGCGGTACCTTTACATCCATACACCTCCATCCTCATGGATATGTGACCGTGCCAGGCTGTTGGTCGAAAACGAATGTAGCGTGCTCTGATTGCATGGCTCAGCTTGTGGTAGACCACAGTGTCCTGGTCTGAGTTTCCAACAAACTCCTAAAAATGAAACGTCGACTTTGTTTGCAAAAGGTCTTTGAACTATGTATAGGTTAGCACTTGAGAGAATTAGAAACCTCCCAACAACAGCGTCTTGCACAAGTGAATAAAAAATAGGAGATTACAGGAGTAAAGATGTTTACTTTGTGTTGGTTTTTGGGCTTGGAGTTTGGCTTTGCCCGTCGACATTACATAATAGTGAGCTTTAGATCCGACGACGGCGAGATTCTACGACGGCAGACTTGGTCGAGGGGGCTTGGGGTGAGGTCGCAGTCGCAATGGCGCGAAAAATAGCATTAAGAAAGCTCGCGCGACGGCGGGTTGTTGTAGCGCCTTTTCCTGTTGAAGTTTAGAAATAAATACAAGAGCGATGGCTACTTTTAGAAAGGTTCGTGAATTGTTACTGACAAGTTTCGATGATGGCGACATTTCAGAAGATGAATTTTTACTGTTGTATGATGTCAACAGATCTAAAAATCCGGATTTTCCCTACCAGAATTACGAACATTTTGACCTCGAGAGGCTTGACGAAAGTGAATGCTTGGCAGGATTTCGTTTTAGAAAAAGTGACATACCTGTTCTCAAAGAGGCAATGGGGTTGCCTGACTCGTATACATGCGAACAGGGGACGGTATGCGACGGGATTGAAGGCCTTTGTCTTCTGTTGAGACGATTAGCGTATCCCTGACGGTACAGTGACCTTATCCATCGTTTTGGCCGCCCGGTTCCAGAGCTTTGCATGATATCCAGTCATGTAATGGATACTGTCTACACCTTACACCATCATCGTCTGACAGCATGGAACCAAACCTTACTGAGTCCCTCTCTACTTCAGGCATATGCTGATGCCATACGAAGGAAAGGAGGTGCTCTGCCAAATTACTTTGGCTTCATAGATGGAACAGTAAGACCCATTTGCCGACCACAAGAAAATCAGGGGATCGTGTACAACGGACACAAAAGAGTCCACGCATTGAAATACCAGTCTGTGGCATTGCCCTGTGGTATGATATCCAATATGTATGGGCCAGTAGGTAATAAAAATTATTTCTTTCAGTTAATTTTTATGTCTTGTTATATCCATCTGTCACACCGTAAATTCAAACAGCGCGACTGCAGTGAAAGTCGTTCTATTGTGGAACATATAAAGTATTATAAATAAAAGATATATTCATTTTTGACATTATTTATAGTTTCAACTTTGATATAATTTTCTCATTTCTTTCAGAGGGCCGCAAACATGATGCTGGGATGCTAGCCGACTCTGGCCTTATGCGAGATCTTGAGCGCTATGCCTTTTCCCCAACTGGTGACCCCATGGCGTTATATGGTGACCCAGCGTACCCACTGAGGGTTCACCTAATTGTGCCATATCGTGCTGCGGGTATTAGCCCCCAGATGGAAGAATTTAACAAGTGTATGATCACTGTCCGTGTTTCAGTAGAGTGGCTCTTTTGGAGACATAATTAATTTTTTTAAATTTGTTGATTTTAAGAAAACTCAAAAGATATCATTGAGTGCAGTGGGAAAGATGTACATTGTATGTGCAATTTTAAGAAATGCCATGACTTGTTTGTACGGAAATTTCACTTCCGAGTTATTTGAATTTAACCCACCTACCCTTCAGGATTATTTTTCTTAACACTTTATACCACTTGTAAAGAGAAATGAAATTTCAGTGATTAATAATGATGTAAAAAACACACAAGTCGATTGAATGTAACATAGTTTATCTGCAGCTTTCCAATAAACTGTACAAAGAAGGGGAAGTTATCCTCTAATATTTGTACTTAGATCAAATCATGTATACTGAAACAACTTCAATTTATGTAAAGGAGGGTTCAAAATCTATGTAAAGAGGGATAGGAGGGGATGGGCATGAGTTGGGCTTTTGAAAGTATCCTGAAGAACAAGGAAAAAAAACAAGTTATAAAAACATTAGGGTATATGCAAGAGAGGTTCATCCTCCCTTGGGGTGGGGGAGGAGGGGTAATTACCCCAAAATACACAGTAAATATTTAAAAATCATCACAGGTCCTCCCTTCACCACATATAAACCCTCCTCAATCATACAAAAATATGATCAAAAGGCCTCTTAATCTGAACAAAAAATGAGGCCATGAAACCTGTCGTAGTACGTTCAACGACCCTCAACAAGTTCAAGTTGCTTATTTTTGTTTTTCTGAAAGCTTTAAAATGATTTGTGACTGCTGTTGTTGCATAGCAGCAAACATCTGCTGAAACTGCTGCATTTGATTCTGTTGCTGCCTGACTTGCTAGGCCATCATTTGCATCATTTCTTGATGTTGCCTTCGGGACTCGTCTTGCTGTTTACTTTCAACTTCCAGGCGCTGCTTTTGTAATTCCAGCTCTTCAGCTTTCCATTTCTGAGCCATATCATTTTTCTCGCGTAAATATGCCATTGTTTCTCCACTACTCTTCATTGTGATCTTTGGCTTTGGTTGAGCATTCTCTTCATCCTCGACTTCATCACCCCCCTTTCTTTTCTGTGTTGAGCGAATGCTCTCAATTGCTTTCTTCCGCATCTCCACAGCGTTAGCATGGTCTGCTTTCTTCTTGTTGCTTTCAACTGTGTTTTCAGCATCACTTTCCTTTTCCATTATTTCTTCCAAAGGTTTTTCGACATCACTCATGCTGGTCTCAATGCCGCTTGCTTTCTCCTCTTCTTTTAACTTTTCCTATAACTTTTCAATGAGAAGTGTGTACAGCTCTCTCACTGAACGCTTTGAAACTCTAAACCTTGGAATTTCCAAGGAGTTAAGATTATTGGCAATCTGGTCGCAAATGTTTCCTGTCGTAATACTTCCCTTTTTCGCTTTAAAAGGTTCTAGGGATAAAATTTCTTGAGATAGACAGAGGTCATGGTCTTCCGTCCACTCCATATTAAACCTACAATTCGAAAAAAAATAACGAAGACTTCATCTCGACCTTGGAAACCGGTTAAATCGATTCACCTTTAAATCAGTTCAGATCTTTCTAAAGCAAATCAAAGCGGTCTCAGTCATGTTTGTGTACATGTGCATTATGCCGCCTACAATTCGAAAAAAAATAACAAAGACTTCATCTCGACCTTGGAAACCGGTTAAATCGATTCACCTTTAAATCAGTTCAGATCTCTCTAAAGCAAATCAAAGCGGTCTCAGTCATGTTTGTGTACATGTGCAATATGCCGCCTAATTCAAGCATAAACTAATCGTCATGTTGTATTTTGAGCAGTTTCGAGAAGCAAGCGTTTCGTGTCTCAACGACGATACATTTTTTTTGCCTTACTAAAAGCTCTTGATTAAAATTACATTGTAAGAGAAGTCGAGTCAAAAAAAACGCTATTTCGAGAAAAGATAAGTGACATAATCCATTGGACCTCAACTTAATGCCGAAACAAGTCTACGATATCATAATTGTTAATAAACACATCAATAAACACAAGAAAAAACTTGTAAAACTTACTGGGTTGCTTTCTTTGTCGAGTTGACCGTGTCCATGGCGATTAACGAGTCAAACTGTTTAGAGAAGGCAAACAAATTTAATTTAGATACCGTGTTCAAATCGTCGCTTAGAAATTCGACAAGAATGGTCGACTGAATTTCGCTCAAAATGTGTTTAAATGGCATTATTTTGATCAAGTTTACTCACGTTTTAAACGCGACGGCAAAATGGCCTTCTTCACGTTACAGACAAGGCCGCTACGGAGGGAAACTTCGCAACGACGGCAGCCGGAAGTCTTTCTAGCAGTAATTTCACTTTCGCTCGCCGTCACAGACGTCTGCCGTCGTCGGATCTTAAGCAAACTAATAGTGGATATGTGAAGGAACGTTAATAAGGTTAGGAGAGTTTGTATCAAAGGTAGAAAACGATTTTACCTTGACTGCGGCCTGTCCTTGCTCCATGTAGTATTGAAAGTTCACACCGTTGTTAGAGTACTGTACTTTGTACTTGGTTACCCACTGGCCGTATCCATTTCTGCCTTGCGTTGCTAGGCCAGATACCTCGTGCTTACTACCAAAATCAATCTGCAGCCACTGGTCCAGGTTATTGTATTTAGCTGACCATGATCCTGCTTTGTCGGGAGCTGCTTCAAAATAGAGTCTTGCCTGGATGGCAGCATGATTGCCATCCCACTCCGAAGAAGCACTAACCTGTCCATTTGAGATCTCACCGCTTTCCATGCCCAGAGCATCCTGACATTCTGGAAATTGAGGAAAAAAACGGACCGTTTTTCGACTTCAAAAAGATTCATTAAATGAAGCCACCTGCTGGATGTGTTGTGGCGCGAAATTGCAACTGGACAACAATCATCGCTTCCCAACTTCTTTGAGCGAGACTTTGAAATGACGGAAAAGCGATATAGTTCAAAGAATTTGTTACGGAGCTAGCGAGTAGACCACTGACGGAGCAGTTTCTGTGCAAGGGCTATTTTAAGAGCGGGTAGAAAATTTTCATGTACTGAGAACCTGTAGGATCTTAACGCCGGGCGACGGGCGTCTTTTGTTTTTTGTTTTGCTTTTGTTTTGTTTTGTTTTGTTTTTGTTTTTGTTTTTTTTTTGTGGCTACACGTGCCAACTTTTCACGCGTATAAAAGAGAACTGCCAAAGTGGTAGGCTAACTTTGTTTATGAAAATGCAGCGTTACCTTGACATCCATACACCTCCACTCTCATGGATATGTTACCCTGCCAGGCTGTTGGTTGAAAACGGATGTAGCGTGCTTTGATTGCATGGCTCAGCTTGTGGTAGACCACAGTGTCCTGGTCTGCATTTCCAACAAACTCCTAAAAATGAAACGTCGACTTTGTTTGCAAAAGGTGCTTCAACTATGTATAGGTTAGAAGTTGTAAGGCTTAGAAACCTACCAACAGCAGCGTTTTGCACAAGTGCATAAGAAATAGGAGATTACAGGAGTAAAGATGTTTACCTTGCGCTGGTTTTTGGGCTTGGAGTTTTGGCTTTGCCCGTCGACATTACATAATAGTGGATATGTGAAGGAACGTTAATTAGGTTAGGAGAGTTTGTGTCCGGGTAGAAAACGATTTTACCTTGATTGCAGCCTGTCCTTGCTCCATGTAGTATTGAAAGTTCACACCGTTGTTAGAGTACTGTACTTTGTACTTGGTTACCCACTGGCCGTATCCATTTCTGCCTTGCGTTGCTAGGCCGGTTACCAAGGTGTGCATACTACCTAAATCAATCTGCAGCCACTGGTCCAGGTTATTGTATTTAGCTGACCATGATCCTGCTTTGTCGGGAGCTGCCTCGAAGTGGAGTCTTGCCTGGATGGCAGCATGATTGCCATCCCACTCCGAAGAAGCACGAACTTGTCCATTTGAGATCTCACCGCTTTCCATGCCCAGAGCACCCTGACATCCTGGACAATGAGAAATAAAACGGACCGTTTTTCGACTTCAAAAGGATCATTAAGTTAATTTAAGCCACCTGCTAGATGTGTTGTGGTGCGAAATTGCAACTGAACAACAATCATCGCTTCCCGATTTCTTTGAGCGAGACTTTGAAATGACGGAAAAGCGATACAGTTCAAAGAATTTGTTACGGAGCTAGGGAGTAGACCACTGACGAAGCAGCTTCTGTGCAAGGGCTATTTTAAGAGCGAGTAGAAACTTTTCATGTACGGAGAACTTGTAGGATAACAAAGCCAGGCGATAAGCGTTTTTTGTTTTTTGTTTTTGTTTTGTTTTGTTTTTGTTTTTTATGGCTACACGTGCCAATTTTTGACGTGTATGAAAGAGAACTGCCAAAAAGTGGTAGGCTAACTTTTTTGATGAAAACGCAGTGTTACCTTTACATCCATACACCTCCACTCTCATGGATATGTGACCGTGCCAGGCTGTTGGTCGAAAACGGATGTAGCGTGCTCTGATTGCATGGCTCAGCTTGTGGTAGACCACAGTGTCCTGGTCTGCGTTTCCAACAAACTCCTAAAAATGAAACGTCGACTTTGTTCGCAAAAGGTCCTTCAACTATGTATAGGATAGAAGTTGTGAGGCTTAGAAACTTACCGACAGCAGCGTTTTGCACAAGTGCATAAGAAATAGGAGATTACAGGAGTAAAGATGTTTACTTTGCGTTGGTTTTTGGGCTTGGTGTTTGGCTTTGCCCGTCGACATTACATAATAGTGGATATGTGAAGGAACGTTAATTAGGTTAGAAGAGTTTGTGTCCGGGTTGAAAATGATTTTACCTTGACTGCGGCCTGTGTTTGCTCCATGTAGTATTGAAAGTTGACACCGTTGTCAGAGTACTGCACTTTGTACTTGGTTACCCACTGGCCGTATCCATTTCTGCCTTGCGTTGCTAGGCCAGTTACCTCGTGCTTACTACCCAAATCAATCTGCAGCCACTGGTCCAGGTTATTGTATTTAGCTGACCATGATCCTGCTTTGCCGAGAGCTGCTTCAAAGTAGAGTCTTGCCTGGATGGCAGCATGATTGCCATCCCACTCCGAAGAAGCACTAACCTGTCCATTTGAGATCTCACCGCTTTCCATGCCCAGAGCATCCTGACATTCTGGAAATTGAGGGAAAAAACGGACCGTTTTTCGACTTCAAAAAGATTCATTAAATGAAGCCACCTGCTGGATGTGTTGTGGCGCGAAATTGCAACTGGACAACAATCATCGCTTCCCAACTTCTTTGAGCGAGACTTTGAAATGACGGAAAAGCGATATAGTTCAAAGACTTTGTTACGGAGCTAGCGAGTAGACCACTGACGAAGCAGTTTCTGTCCAAGGGCTAGTTTAAGAGCGGGTAGAAAATTTTTATGTACTGAGAACTTGTAGGATCTCAATGCTGGGCGACGAGCGTTTTTTGCTTCTTGTTTTGCTATTGTTTTTTTTTTTTGACTGGCTATATGTGGTAATTTTTGACGCGTATGAAAGAGAACTGCCAAAAAGTGGTAGGCTAACTTTTTTTATGAAAACGCAGCGTTACCTTTACATCCATACACCTCCACTCTCATGGATATGTGACCATGCCAGGCTGTTGGTTGAAAACGGATGTAACGTGCTTTGATTGCATGCCTCAGCTTGTGGTAGACCACAGTGTCCTGGTCTGCGTTTCCAACAAACTCCTAAAAATGAAACGTCGACTTTGTTTGCAATAGGTCCTTCAACTATGTATAGGTTAGAAGTTGTGAGGCTTAGAAACTTACCGACAGCAGCGTTTTGCACAAGTGCATAAGAAATAGGAGATTACAGGAGTAAAGATGTTTACTTTGGGTTGGTTTTTGGGCTTGGTGTTTGGCTTTGCCCGTCGACATTACATAATAGTGGATATGTGAAGGAACGTTAATTAGGTTAGGAGAGGTTGTGTCCGGGTAGAAAACGATTTTACCTTGATTGCGGCCTGTCCTTGCTCCATGTATATGTAGTATTGAAAGTTCACACCGTTGTCAGAATACTGCACTTTGTACTTGGTTACCCAATGGCCGTATCCATTTCTGCCTTGCGTTGCTAGGCCAGTTACCTCGTGCTTACTACCCAAATCAATCTGCAGCCACTGGTCCAGGTTATTGTATTTAGCTGACCATGATCCTGCTTTGTCGGGAGCTGCTTCAAAGTAGAGTCTTGCCTGGATGGCAGCATGACTGCCATCCCACTCCGAAGAAGCACTAACCTGTCCATTTGAGATCTCACCGCTTTCCATGCCCAGAGCATCCTGACATTCTGGAAATTGAGAAATAAAACGGACCGTTTTTCGACTTCAAAAGGATCATTTAGTTAAGCCACCTGCTAGATGTGTTGTGGTGCGAAATTGCAACTGGACAACAATCATCGCTTCCCAATTTCTTTGAGCAAGACTTTGAAATGACGGAAAAGCGATACGGTTCAAAGAATTTGTTACGGAGCTAGCGAGTAGACCACTGACAAAGCAGTTTCTATGCAAGGGCTATTTTAAGAGCGAGTAGAAAATGTTCATGTACTGAGAACTTGTAGGATAACAACGCCAGGCGATGAGCGTTTTTTTATTTTTTGTTTTTGTTTTTGTTTTTTGTGGCTACATGTGCTAATTTTTGACGGGTATGAAAGAGAACTGCCAAAAAGTGGTAGGCTAACATTTTTTATGAAAATGCAGCGTTACCTTTACATCCGTACACCTCCACTCTCATGGATATGTGACCGTGCCAGGCTGTTGGTCGAAAACGGATGTAGCGTGCTCTGATTGCATGGCTCAGCTTTCGGTAGACCACAGTGTCCTGGTCTGCGTTTCCAACAAACTCCTAAAAATGAAACGTCGACTTTGTTTGCAAAAGGTGCTTCAACTACGTATAGGTTAGAAGTTGTGAGGCTTAGAAACCTACCAACAGCAACGTTTTGCACAAGTGTATAAGAAATAGGAGATTACAGGAGTAAAGATGTTTACTTTGCGTTGGTTTTTGGGCTTGGTGTTTGGCTTTGCCCGTCGACATTACATAATAGTGGATATGTGAAGGAACGTTAATTAGGTTAGAAGAGTTTGTGTCCGGGTTGAAAATGATTTTACCTTGATTGCGGCCTGTGTTTGCTCCATGTAGTATTGAAAGTTGACACCGTTGACTGAGTACTGCACTTTGTACTTGGTTACCCACTGGCCGTATCCATTTCTGCCTTGCGTTGCTAGGCCAGTTACCTCGTGCTTACTACCCAAATCAATCTGCAGCCACTGGTCCAGGTTATTGTATTTAGCTGACCATGATCCTGCTTTGTCGGGAGCTGCTTCAAAGTAGAGTCTTGCCTGGATGGCAGCATGATTGCCATCCCACTCCGAAGAAGCACTAACCTGTCCATTTGAGATCTCACCGCTTTCCATGCCCAGAGCATCCTGACATTCTGGGCATTGAGAAATAAAATAAGGATCATTAAACGAAGCCATCTGCTGGCTGAAATTGGAAGTGCATAACAATCATCGCTGCGACACTTCTTTGAGCTTGACTTTGAAATGGCGGAAAAGCGATATAGCTCAGAGAATGTGTTACAGAGTTAGTGAGTACAGCACTTACAACGCAATTTCTGTTCAAGGGCTATTGTAAATGCAGTATCTCACGCGTATATGTAGGAACGTTCATACAGTTGAAATAGAAGGCAGTATATAAGAAAAAATCTCGATTTCTTTAAAACATGAGCCGCATGGAATCGTTGGGTAGCTCAAGATTATCATGTTTGTTTATGTTGTTTCTCGCTAAAACGTTATTTGCAATATCAGAATCTTAATCTAAGAGTTGTTGGCTTGTGCTATATACTGCAATTTTAAATAGTCATTTTTAATTAGGAATTCGCCGCCATTTTAAGTAAGCTCATATTCAATAGTTCATTTTGACCCGCGCCCTCCAACACTCGTTTACTCAAAAGTATCTCAAACTTAGCGTGTATCTCGAATAGTTCCCGGTAAACTTTTCACTTACAGTGACTAGCATCCTTTGTTATAGCCGGTAGTCTTGAAAAGTTATCAAGGCGCAGAAATATACAACCTGTATCGATATCACTGCTGTAACTTGCGTCATTTGTTTTCATTATTCATATTTTTGTATGTAGCACAAACGTCGGTTGCTTCGCGAGTAGTTCTGACTAGCAGCCTGCCTAGCGGGCAGTTTTTTTTTGATGACTTTTTCGTTTGTGGATCATAAAGTAGAGGCAGCCGGGTAAACGAAGGGCCCGTTTACATGACGGGAGATCCCAGCATTAGGAAGGTCCTAGAAGGCGAACACCGGTATTACATTTTCTCACAGGGTAACACCCATAATTTCTCAATTGAGAACATGGGTATTACCCCATGAGGAAACGATCTTCTGAACCATTCAGACAACTGCTACAGATATCTATTGTTACGTAAGGTCTGTAACAACCAATAAAATCACTTGTTAAAAAAACGAGCGTTTCTCTAATCGTTCTGTGGCTTCATTCAAGAAGGAATCGAGTATTTTGGAAAGTATTATCGAGGGTTCAAAGCAGTTTGTCTCTAGAACGGTTGCAACGGCAAACTGTCGAAACGAAATCGCATCTCGGATAACCAGAGGGAGATTTTAGACGATTTTTACGGGAAAGGCATGGTTGGAACCGGAGCCATGTACAAAGAAATGGTTCAAAAAGCCACTGCAGACACTGGATTGACCAAGGCTCAAGTTGAAGTAAGTTAACTCCACTAATAATATGATTAATTGAGTTTTATAAAGAATGTTCTTTCATGCCTGTTCGTCTCATTTTATTTGTCGAAGGGGTATCGCCCTTTCTTAAAAATAAGCGGATCGCTACTCTCGCTGGCACTCTCGCCAGCGATCGGCAGTTGAGACGCCATTTTTAGGGTTGTTTTCTCGTCTAAACAACTCAGTACGTATAAAGTATGATTCGTTGTTTTTCTCCATTTTGCCCTTTCATGTACCTCTGACCTTAGTTTAAAGGATTCCTTGCTTGGAAATATTGCTTAAAATGTCTAGTGGTACTCAAATGATGAGTACTTTGCGTTTACATGCAGAAATTTCGGTCCGTGTGTTTAAGATTAAAGATTACCCACAGAACGACTCGCCTCCATTTTTGTGTGGTTTGTCCCTAGTACTAGGATCTTCCTAGCGAAAGCAGTTTACAAGGCGCTAGGACCTTCCTAGTACTAGGTTCTTCCTACCTCTCAGCTAGGAAGATCATAGCTCTAGAGAGAATTCAACCTTCCGCATGTAAACTGAATACAATAAACATATGGCGCTAGGATGATCCACCTTTCAGGATCTTAAGGATCTTCCTCCCTCCATGTAAACACCCCCTAAGTAAACTAAAATAGAGTCTGATCTCAGTTTAGCGCGCGAAAGCTGAATAACTGCTGAACTGGGGTGCAAGATAGGCGAGGGGGCGGAGGGAGGAAAGCAGAGAACCCTTTAGCTTTCGCGCGGCTGTATATCTTTCTTTACAAACTACAAACGAAAAAGCGCGCTAAGAAAACAGCCTGCATTGTTAGTATGATAATAAAAAGGAGTAACGAAAAATATCTTTAGAAAATGAACTCGTGAATACACAAAACGTGTTTTGACAGGTACATGTTTTTTCTTGGCTAAATCATTTCAACTCATATATAAGATAAATATTTTATTTCATCGCATGACTGTTTTCTAGACAAGTTTCCCATAGTTTTTACTTTGATTTAACTTTTGCGAAGGCTAAAAAACCTACCAGTTAAGGAGACAATATACAAAGGGTTAACTTTGTCTATAGTAAAGTGTTTTCAAGATATCCTAGGACTAATAGTTTAATACTGACTATACTGACAAAGACTTCTTGAAATTTCATGTAGGGAATTACTTTCAATTTCATCACGTGACCAGTCTCGCCTTGGTTTCTCCAAAAATTCTTCGACCCAAAATTTCTACCCGCTAGTTACAGAGCAAAAGCCGTTCGTTCTATAGATCCAGGCAACGCCAACTAATAGTGTTCTTGTAAAACTGGTAGGTATACGACTAGGCCTAACGTCTTTTCCTTGTTCAAAATAATGATAAGAGGAGGACTAGCACCAGTTACTGATCATGAACACCAATTGTTCTTATAAATGTGAACCTTTGACACGTTCCAAGCTGATTTCGTAAATACCCTCTGGATTTATTGTTTGGTAAAAAGAAACTGAAGCTGCACATGTAGGCAAGTGGTGGAAATCGTTGGTTTTAATCTTCAAAAAGTAGGGGATATGGTCTATCACGTGATCAGACAATTTGAGAATCGTTTCTCTAGTTTTCGTATTTTAGTTTATTTTACCATTCGCTATTCCTCTCAGATGCGATGCCTTTAACTTTGATTTTTGATAACTGAACTTAAGAATGAAAAGTGATATAAAACCTGGCCTTAATTTACCTGATAAAGTCATTGACTCAGTCGTCGGCTTGGCAGTCGTGGGCTCGGCAGTCGTCGGCTCGGCAGTCGTCGACTCGGCAGTCGTCGGCTCGGCAGTCGTCGGCGCAGTCGTCGGCGCAGTTGTCGGCGCAGTCGTCGGCGCAGTCGTCGGCGCAGTCGTCGGCGCAGTCATTGGCGCAGTCGTCGGCTCAGTCTTCGGATTAGGCGTTGGCTCCGTTTTCGGACAGCAACATACTTTCTTTTTCTTCCCGCAGGAGAACTTACCAGGGCACGCTTCAAAACCACCTTTACAGCGTTTACCTCTTATACACTTGGCCCCTTGGTTCAGTTTCACACAAGTATTGCGCCTGCCTGTAAAATGATAAATTGGTGTCTTATACCTTCCACGTACCGTTGGAAGGAAGAAGGGGGGAGTGGAATGGGTTGGTGTATGCCCTCTCTACTTCCAAGTACTTTTTGATCGATTTTTCAAAACGCTTTCAGGAGACAGAACCCTTCTACGTCAGTAGCTCTTCAGCTATTTATTGCTCTGACACATTTCAACGAACTTCGATCGGTGATTACATTTTCAAAAAACTGACTATCTCTTGTCCATTTTTGTTCTTTTCCTGGTCCAAATGGCTCATTTTTTACAAGACCTGTCTTGTTAAAAACTCATGCTTAATGTGGCCAAAGAACCGTGATGTAGGGCGGAGATGCCTAATTCTGAGTTAAAAACAGTCAGTGATTAAATTTTATGAGACAAATTGAAATTTATGAATGTCTTTAATATCAGTGACTGTCAATCTTGATACAGAATTGTCCCGTTCACAAGAATCATTTTCTTTTGATTGTTCTTCCTAAAATCAAAATTATTGGAATGTACTAGGAAGACGTTAACGTTACCAATAAAGATTTAACGCCAATATTTTACCTTTCTTTCGGTGAACATAGAAGAAACCGAATAAAACGTTTCAGTTTCAAGCGGTAATGAAATAGATAAACGTTTTTGCATTACTGTTAGTTAGAACTAGTTATCATAGAAAATTAATTGGTTTCAGTTGCATCTTGCAATTTCAGAATTCTTAACTTCAAAATTTCTGTGTAGAAGTAGCCTTTAGACCCCTTCATTATGATCACCTTTACGCCATTTTCGGATTGCAAGATCCTCAACTTTCAACCCTGCCTCCTGGTCCGGCGTAGCATAACCCACAGCCAGGATATTGACAGCCACGATAATCACCAAATTCATCTTTCAGTCTTTTTGGACGACAGAATGATTTTAAAAACCTGAAAAACAAAACGAAGTATGCACCTTTATAATAGCATTGATAACTTTGAAATACCACGCTGAAAATGAAATACTTTGTTAAGATAATTCTATGCACCTTGACTATTTTTCCCTATTAACTTTCAGGCTCTGGGTTTTTAAATTGGCGACATCAGGCTTTTTTTAAGTGTCTGATTTTCACAAAACGCCTTCAAAAATAAAAATCAAATCCATTTAGTTTTATGGTTGGGATCTTTAGTAAAACAACATATACACCTCATCAGATACTAATAAATTTAGTAAACTGACTTACCCGATGTGGATGAGCTAGAGCAAGGAGAAGACACAAGCCTATGACTTGTTAAATTGCCTGTTTTATCACCTTTGAATTCCGTTATGATTAATCCATTACAAATCTCGTTACGTGTACAAAACAATTTTGCTAAGAGACCCTCAGACTTCAAAAACAATGTTAATGAAAAAAATCCAATTTAACTCCCTACTTTACTTTCATAATGAGAGAAGCATAAAAAAGAAGAAATTGCAATTCTTTTCCGTTACGATTATTTCAGTACTAACAGATCTAATATGAAGAATGAATTTAACATATTAACATTTAAATTGCCACTAACAATTCATTACCAAAACCTCCTTTCACATAAAAACAAGTACGTTGCTCAGAAACTATTCGGTTGAAAATAGAACGTTGTTTTGGCAAAAACCAATTACTTTGG